ATGCAGGTAATACACTCATACACATAAAATGAAAATAACAAATTAAAAAAAATGTACTAAACCCAAGGTGCCAAAATCAGTTTTGGATTTTTTTATTAATCTATAAATATTATTGCCAGATATGGTAGCGTATGCCTTTAATCCCAGCACTTGGGAGACAGAGGCCAGGAGGTCTCAGTTTGAGGCCAGCATGGTCTATATAGGGAGTTTCAGGCCAGTCAGGGTTACATAGTGAGATCCTGTGTGAAACAAACAGGCAAACAAAAATAATAACAATCTATAAATAATTGGTACTTAATATTACAATAATACTACTATTATGTGCTTGTATAACACTTTATACTAAGATCTGTTTGTAAAAATCATACTTACTTCTCAAAAAACTGAGAGGAAGGAAGATGGGTTTATTAAATTGGGCCCTGGGGCACATAGAATCATTCACCTGCTAAGCTCAGAGCTAAATCAAATCCATATTTTTTCTTCTGCTGCTGCCTATGAACCAGAAAGGTCCACTCATCATCAGCAAGTTTCTCCTCCTTCTTTAATTTATGCCTATGAGGAAATACTGAGGGAGGAGATCTATTTTACTTTCCAATATCTAGAAAAGAAAATGCCAAAATGACGTGCTGCTCTTTGTCATATTAACTTCCTGAATCAACACTGTCCAACAGAAATAAGATGTGAACCACACATGTGATTTTAAGATTTCTGGCAACTACATTAGAAAGAGAGAAATAAGTGGAATCTTAATCAGATATTTAAGTAAATATATCCAAAACATTGTCATTCTGATATATAAGTAATATAGAAACTGAGATATTTGCCATTCCATCTTATATGCTAAGCCTTTGAAATCTCATCAGAACTGGCTACACTTCAAATGCTCAATAGCTAGTGACTTCCATATTGAGCAAAGACGTGCTAAACATTCATTAAATCCCTCATGTTAGGGAGGATGGCTCAATGGGTAAAATGCTTGCAAGCACAAGCATGCAAGTTCAATCCTCAGAACCCAGGAAAAAATTCTGGCCATCACCTATACCGTAATCCTGTAATGCCTGTAATCCTACTGCTAGGGAAATGCAGACAGGAAGATCCTCGCCAGCCAGCCAGTCTAGCCTAGCTGGTAAGCTCTAGGCCAATGAGAAATTATGTGTCAAAGAAGATAGGTGGTATTCATGAGGATGATTCCTTCATGAGGTTTTCCTCCAGCCTCTCCATGCACATGCACCCACACACACATACATACACATTAAAAAAAAACCAAAACCTAAACCTCTAGTTATTTCCTACCAAGATTCCTTATATATGGAAGCAGGTCCTTATATATGGTTTAAAGAAGTGAATCATGGAAGTCCTATTCCTGATCCTGCCAGAGCCATACTAACTAGCTTTGGGCAAGGTTTTGTCCTCCAAGTCCTCTTTCATAGTCCTGCTATCTGCTAAGTAAGAAAAGTTGCCCATTCTCTATTTAATGAGGAAACAGGGAGTTTGAAGAATATGGGGAGCTCCTGAGACTTAGATGAGCACACTGGCTTCTACAGGACAGCCATGATCTAGTTGTTCATCCCATTTGAACATGATAGGGCTGCTGGCTGGCAAAACGGCTCAGCAGGAAAGGATATCTGCTGCCAAGCCTGACAACCTGGGTGCAATCCCTGGGACCCACACAGTAGAAGGAGAGAACCGATTCCCCCAAGTTGTCCACTGACCTCCACGTGTGCACTATGACACACATGCACACATATGCACGGGCACATTCACAGACAGACAGACACAATGCAAGTTAAAAAGGAAGACAGTAAGGCTGAAGCACAGCTCAGTCATGAAGCACTTGCCCAGCATGCACAAGGCCAGTCTGGATCACCAGCACCACAAAACATGATGGTGATGGTAGTGATGATGATGGTTCAAGCACTGAGGTCAACATGTATATTAACAGAAGATTTATAAATGTACCTGATGATTTTGTACATGACTGGGTTGGTGAAGAAAGGCTCATCCAACTCATTATGGCCCCACTGCCTATAGCATAATAAATCAATAATCACATCTTTGCGGAATTGGCGCTGATATTCAAAAGCCAGTCGTGTGGCTCGGACCACTTCCTCTGGCCAGTCTCCATTGACATGGATGATAGCACAGCCTACAAGCTTCCCTAAGGAAGGTAAGACCAAGACAAAAAAGGCCAGTTAACATGAGATAATATTAGCTGTCCCACAAGGTCTACAGCTTATGTGGAAAGACAGCCCTGGAACTCAGAGGTAGTTTGGCTTGAGTGGTAAAAACTCAAGCTTTGGAACTTACCTAACTAGTCTCAGCTGCATGACTTACTGTGTGATCCTGGAAAAGTTATAAATCTCAGACTAGTCTGGACTCTGAATGATACTGTCAAGATTTTATGAGTCAATGCATAGAAAGTGTTAATGTTTCTCAGTACTTTGTACATAACCGTTAACATTATTGTGTTATTGTTATTATCTTTCTTCCTGAGACAAAAAGGTCACTAAAGCACGCATCCTAGAAAAAGATTTTTTCCAGAGAAATGCATCCTCACTATCTCTAGTTCTTGTAATTGTTCTGTGACATACAAGTAGGCAAAAAAAGCCCTGTCTTTGTGCCAGGACTGCTGATTTCCCTAGATTAAAAGAAGTTGGCTTTGCTGCTTCTCAACTTATTTCTAACTAGACTTTAGCAAATTTAGTGGGTAAACATACTTTTTTTGACTAAGACCTTGGGCATGCTAAATTTGATTATTCTAAACTCTAGTGTTATACCAACTACATTGCTCTTTGATTTCTACCAGACTGTTCAGTTGGCTATTTAAGCTCATGCCTTTAATCCCAGCACTCAGGAGACAGGCAGATCTCTGTGAAATTGAGGCCAGCTTGGTGTCCATAGTGAGTCCAGGCCAGCTGGAGCCACAGGGAGACTCTGCGTCAATAAGACCAAAAGAAGATCAAAGTCAGGGGAGTAGTCAGGGTTGAAGTGCAGTTCTGTAGTAGAGTGCTTGCCTGGCATGATGCCTTATGTTCAACTCCTAGAACTATATAAAATAACACACTCAAACTATAAAATGGATGTTCATTTAGCAACTGTCGGCAACTACTGATTTAACTTTTAAAAATTAAAATGGGATAACCAGGAATTGCTTGTCTGCATGACACAGCAATATCAATTCTATTGTGTTACATACCAATGTCACTACTGTATAAGGAAGATCTTCCTCTTTCTGCTGGAGTGGTGTAGCCCAGCTGGTTATTAACAATCAAGTGGATACTCCCACCAATTCTGAAATGTGGGAGATTAGAGAGCGTGAATGTTTCAAGAACAATCCCTTGACCACAGAAAGAAGCATCACCATGAACCTAAAACATGGGAGAGATTGGGGGGGGGAGTAAAGGATTAATTGATTTATGTTTTCCGATTGGAACAAACTGTTCCAAAGAGTTAATAGGGATACTGACAACCACTCTGTCACAACTCCCTTGATCTCCTAAACATATACAAGTTACAGGAGGTCTTAGTGTGTTTAGACTGATCTTAAAAGCACCTTTCAAAGATGTGCAGCCTTTTTTCCTCCTAACTTATACTCTTCTCTTCTGCAAACATTCTTCCATCTATAGCAGCACCATGGGAGGAAGGGCTACTGGATATGCAAAGAAAACGTTAGTTCTAAGGATTTTCTTTTCTTTCTGTGCTGAGGATTGAACCCAGAGTCTTACTCTTGTTCGATAAGCACTGTACTACCATTGAGCTACAGCCCCAGTCTCAGCTCTGGGAAATTTTACCTGAAAATAGGCTTAAGATATGAGAAATAGGGGCAGTGAAATAGCTCAGAGAGTAGAAGGTCTTGCCTCAAAAGCCTGAGGTCCTGAGTTCACCCCTGGAACTTACAAAAAAGGCAGGAGGAACCGACTCCACAAAGTTGTCCTCTGACCTCCATATATAGCCAGCATGCACCTGGTAAACACCTCTCTCTCTCTCTCTCTCTCTACACACACACACACACACACACACACACACTCTCTCACACACCAGAAGATATGAGGAATAGTGCACACCTTTGAACTCTTCCTCTCCCCAGGCACTCACCCCTGAGAAGATACGGAGAGTAGCAGCACCATTGCCTAACCCGAGCTGCCATCAAGAACCTGAGAGAATAGAATGATGGCGCACACTAAAACAGAGGTGAGAGAGACCTATCACATATAAGCAGGAAAAGGTTCACAAACCCCACAGTGTTATTATGAGAGGAGGTCTAATATGCTAATCGAGAACATCCAAAGTGCTGAATCAGATCATCACAAAACCTGGTAGACAAGGCAGTAAAGTTTTTTTGTTGTGTTTTGTTTTGGTTTTGTGTGTGGGGGGGTGCATTTCCTTCTGAAGCAAATAAAAAGCCAATTTCAGATCTTGGAAAAACCTTAGAAAGAATTCAAAATATTAAATTTATTATATGACTTTATGAGTGTACTGCATTCATATATGTAAGTGCACCCATGTTGTGCAATGCCCACAGAGGTAAGAAGAGGCCATTGGATTCCCCTGGAACTGTAGTTACAGATGGTTATTAGCTGCCATGTGGGTACTGTAAACCAAATCCAGGTGCTCTACAAGAACAGTCAGTGCTCTTAACTGTTGAGCCATCTCTCCAGCCCTGCAAACTTCAGAATCTTCTTTTCCCAAAACGCCACTTCACCTTTGTTTTGAATATCCGCAATCTCCTGTCAGATGTACCAACCCAGACAATATTCTTTTTAAACTTTTTTATTTTTATTTATTTAGTTTTATTTTATGTGTATGAGTGTTTTGCCTACATGTATTAAGTGCACCCTTGTCATGTAATGCCTGCAAAAGCCAGAAGACGGCATCAGATATCCTGGAACTGGAGTTAGAGAAGGTTGTTAGCCACCATGTAGGTACTGTGAACCCAACCTGGGTCCTCTGCAAAAGCAGCCAGTGCTCATAACCACTGAACTATCACTCCAGCCCCTTAGATAATAGTCTTTCTGGTATTCTCTCACTTTCTGAAACTCAAAGTACCTGTAGGCAAATGACTTTGTCCCCAGGCTGAGCGGAGCCATCTGGAGAGTAGTCACCATCTTGCTGAGACTGTTGCCTGCCTCGAGTTTTCCCGACAGCCACAGGGTTAACAGCTTCCAAATGTGAGGGATTAGGCAGCATTGTCACATGGAGGGGACCGTGGGCACCAAAGTCCAGGTCCACAGAGGAGGTCAGATGGGACAGTACATCTCCAATACTTGAGATATTTTCTGGAAATTCACTTAAACCTTGCATTTTACGAAACAGCAGCTATTAAAATAAGCATATGAGTTTTTTAAAGTCTTACTTACAATAAGTATAGCATGATCTTAAATAAAAATTAGCATTATGTTATTACAAGCATGCATTATTTAAAGACAGGCACATTTATTGTTCTTCTCAACGTGTATTTCTTATTGAATTTTTGTGCACTTTGTACAAAACATCTTATTATCTTTATACCCACTTCCCCATTCATACCCCCTCATACCCTCACCACCAGAATTTATGCATTCTGTCATAAATGTTAAGGCCCATCAGGTCTAATTTGTGTACCCAGATGTCCCTCAGTGCAAGTTCACCCACTGGATTCTAGTCAGTCTATCTAGGATCTCTCCCTTAAAGAGGATCAACTTTCCCTCACCCAGCAGTAATCAGTTCTTCAGCTAAGGTTGGGGACTCCTGCCCATTTCCCCAGTTCTAAGCTAGATTTTGTCAGATTGAGTTTGCATGTGTCTTGTGTAAGCTGACACCCTTGCTGTAAGTTCATATGAACACACTCCCAGAGGCCTGGAAGACACAGTTTCCTTAAGATCATGCACCATCCCTGGCTCTTACAATCTTTCTGTCCCCTTTTCCACAGTGGTCCTGAGCCATGGGTGGGTGAGGTTTAATACCGGAGTCCTATCCAGGGACACACAGTCTGTAATCTCTTTTTCTCTATACTCTTACTCTCCAGGTGTCGCCTTCTATGTACATTGTACTCTGTTGCATGAGGAAGCTTCGCTGGTGAGGGTTGAGAGATCATTAGTTTTTTTTCTACCCCTTTTCCACTATGTTCCATGAGACTTAGTGTAGAGGTTCCACTGTAGAGGTGTCACTTGGGGTCAGGCATCTCTTATACCTGTTCTCTGTGTGTGACCAGTTGTGGAATTCTGTAATAGTCTCCGTCTGTTGCAAAAAGAATCTTTGATAAGTGGTGAATGATATATATGTGTCTGTAAATATAAGGATCCATATTTAGCACACAGTAAGAAATTACATTTGTCCAGGGATATGACAGAGGGTTTCTCTAGTATCTATGAGCTCTCTAGCCATGTGTATTTGGCTATGTTTACAGAGCCACACATGAGTTCCCTCCTACTGAGAGGGTTTTAAGTCCAAATAGATAGCTGTTGATTATCCCCAAGATAAAGGTGCCACTGCTGCACCACTTTAGTTTGCTGTGCTGGTCACTGTTGTGGTTATTGGGCTTTAAAGCTGGGGTTAGATCATTGATTGATTTTCTCTTTTACAACTTGCAGAGTACCCTCCAACACTGTGTGAGCTTGTCTTCAGGGAGGAGGCTTCCAGGTCAGTTCCAGCTCTACTGATTTATATCCTGTGTCCAAAATATGTCCTGTCTTCAGCAATAGTGTCTTACCTTCAAGTTCTGGGAAGTAATCAAGGACTGTGGCCGTAGCCTGCATTAGTTTGGGAGTCTCTCGTACTACATTGACAAAACCTCGAAGGAGGTTTCTCTTGTCTGGCACTGTGTTTCTTGCTATATAGACTTCAGGTATACACAAGCCACTCATGTTCAGATATTGTATATGTATTTTTCAGTAGGTTTTTGAGCTAATACATTTCCTGCTGGTTTTTCATACTACCCAAGCTTTATTTATCTCTCCTCTCTCCTCTAACCTCCCTCCACCCTCATCCCAGGCACAGATTTATAACAGGTCAATAAGAACTACTTGGAAGTCTTCAGAATCAAATAAAGTGCCAACATTTTAAGAGGAATCTAACTCAAGGCAAATACTCAGTTGTCTCTACCTTATGGTGACAAAATAACTTTTAGGAGAGCTGGCTCAGGAGTTAAAAGCACTGGCTATTCTTGTAGAAGACCCAGGTTTGAATGCCAGCACCCACATGGCAGCTAACTACTGTCCGTAACTCCAGTTCCATGGGATCTGATGCTGTCTTCTGTCCTCCTTGGGCACTGCATGATTTGGGTCCACTTATACACATGCAGGCATAACACTCATACACATAAAATAAAAATAAATAGAGCTGGGTACGGTGGTGCACGTCTTTAATCCCAGCACTTAGAAAGCAGAGGCAGGCGGATCTCTGTGACCTCAAGGCCAACTTGGTCTACATAGTGAGTTCCAGGCCAGCTTGGGCTACATGGAGACCCTGTCTCAAAAAGTCCAAAACTACAAATAAATAAATAAAATGAAAGGAAACAAACAAACAAAAAGAAAGAAAGAATGTACATTTCTAGGTTTCAAATTAAAATGAAATAATTATTTAAAAAATAACTTTTAGCCAGGTGTGGTGGTGCACACCTTTAATCCCAGCACTTGGGAGGCAGAGGCAGGTGGATCTCTGTGAGTTCAAGGCCAGCCTGGTCTACATAGTGAGTTCCAGGACAGCTGGGGCTACAGGGAAACCCTGTCTCAAAAAAAAAAAACAAAAAAAAACAAAAAACAAAAAAAAACCTTTAAAAATAAATGCTCCTTAAGAGTGATTCCAGTGGCTCTTATTCCTGTGAAAAACACAATTTAGGGCCAGAGATTATTCAGAGGTTAAGAGCACTGACTGTTCTTACTGAGGACTCTGGTTCAGTTCCCAGCACTCACATGGCAGCTAACAACCACTAGTACTCTAGTTCCAGGGGATCCTCTGGCTTCTCCAGGGATTGCATGCATGTGGTATACGTATACACATGCAAGCAAAACACTCATACACAACAAAAAGTTTTTCCTTAAGCACAATTTAGCCCTTTTGTAATTCTATTTGAGAATGCTGGAAGTTTAATTAGCTTTCCACTCAACAAAATTTCTGCATTTGAAATTTCTTCAATCTTAACCATACTTGAGTATTACTGTATCTTAAAACAAGCTATTAGCTCTGAAGTACTAAGTTTTAAATTAATTGACTATCTTGTTTTGGTGGGGGATATTTATTTTATTTTATATTTATGTGTATGTTTTTAAAATATTTTATTTATTTATTTATTTAGTGTATGTGTGTATTACCTGCATGTAGGCAAGTGCACCCATGTCATGCAACACCTGCGGAAGACAGAAGAGGCTGTCGGATTCCCTGGAACAGGAGTTATGGACAGCTGTTAGCTGCCACGTGGGTGCTGGGATTCGAACCTGGGTCTTCTGTATTAATTCTATTTTATGTGTATGTGTGTATTGCCTGCATGTAGGTAAGTGCACCCATGTCCTGCAATGCCCACGGAGGACAGAAGAGGCTGTTGGATCCCCTGGAGCTGTAGTTACGGACAGTTGTTAGCTGCCATGTGGTGCTGGGATTCGAATCCGGGTCTTCTTCAAGAACAACCAGTGTTCTTAACCTCTGAGCCATCTCTCCAGCCCCAAGACCATCCTTTTTTAAAGTAGGACTCACAAACTGGCCTGGAATTCACTGTATAACCCACTGTATAACCCAGGCTAGCCTCTTACTCATGGCAGTCCTCTTGCCTCAGCCTCCTGAGTGTTGTTCCGTTTAACACTTACAAAATGCTTAAGTTAAGACAGATTCAGTATGTTTCCAGTTACAGTGATAAATTGTTTTGGAGTAGTTGCTAATGGTTGAGTCTGCATGATGTACACCTGGAAGAGACTGTTGGATCCCCTGGAACTGGAGTTACAGACAGTTGTTAGCTGCCATGTGGGTGCTGGGATTTGAACCCAGGTCTTCTGCGAGACCAGCCAGTGTTCTTAACCCCCTGAGCCATCTCTCCAGCCCCTATTTATGTGTATGTTTATGTGCCTGTGTGAGTTTACACGCAATGCCCAAAGAGGCCAGAGGAAGATACTGGATTTCCTGGAACTGGAGTTATAGGCAATTGTTAGCTGCCATGTGAGTGCTGGGATTTGAGCCTGGGTCTTCTGCAAGAGCAGCAGGAGCTCTTAACAGCTGAGCTATCTCTCCAGCAACAGAGCAGTAAATGCTCCTAACTGATGAACCATCTCTAGGCCTGTTTTGTTTTGTTTTTAGACAGAGTCACACTATACAGCACTGGCTGGCCTGGAACTCTCTGTGCAGACCAGACTGGCCTTGAACTAACAAAGATCTGCCTACCTTTGCCTCCTGAGTGCTGGGATTAAAGTAATGTGCTACCACACCCCCAGTTCTCAGCTGACTTCTTAAAACACCATTTGGATTTTACTTTTTTAAACTTTATTTTTTTACAGAAAAAATTATTTTTAATACAATTGACACTAAGATGCACATGCATTTCTAATCTCTATATATCTGATTATTACTAGTCACAGTCGGTTGCTTTTTGAGCTCCTTGGCATCTGAGCATGGATATAAATTCGTCAGGTAGATTTCAGTGGTAATGTTTTTCATATCTACTAATTATTAAGGAGCAAATTTTTATGCTTTGAAGAATTATTATTTCTTTAATCAATATTTTAAAAATTTTTTAATAACTACATGATTAGAAGAAGTATTTCAGTACAGCTTTAACATATTCAGTAACACACTCCAGAGCAAGAGTATATCTCTTTCACAAGTGGCTGCAAGTTTCTAGGTTCACAGTTGAATTAATACAGTTATACAATATTGAACTCAGTATAAGCCCTATTTTTATTTTATTTATATGAATGTCATGCCTGCATGTATGTAAGTGCACCCGTGTCATGTAGTACTTAGGGAAGTCAGAAGAAGGCATTGGAGCCCCTGGAACTGGAGTAACAGATGATTGTTAGCTGCCATGTGGGTGCTGGGATTTGAACCCAGGTTCATTAAGAGCTGCAAGAGCTGCCAGTGCTCTTAACCTCTGAGTCATCTCTCCAGCCCCACCATTTGGATTTTAATTGTGATGCAGATGTTATTGTAACATTTGATTTTCTACAGACTTATTTCCACTCTGGTAGAGAAGCTCAATGAAGGTCATATCCAAAAAACAGACAGACACACAGAGTTCTGATAGATAGATATAGATATAGATATAGATATAGAGATATGAAGATAGATAGATATATACACACACACATATATATGAGAATATATTTGCAATATGTTTGCAAATAAAACTACTCATT